TTTCTTGCAGTCCTCTTTGCAGTTACAGCCGAATATATTCTGCGCTCTCACCAGTCTCGTATTTCTTCGTGATCGTAAATTTTCATCTTCAACTTTATTGCATTATATTCTAGAAAGTTTTTCGAAACAAAGAGCGAGCGTAGTAACATTTAGCGACATTTTCTTGAGTATATAAATTCAAAAGCGTCAGCATTACTTTAATATACTTGAAAATAAATTAACTTACTTCAAAATAATAGGTTGTTAATATATTAATATTTATTAGCCTTCACCATTTTCCTTTATTCATGACTCTGTTTGACTTTTTGGCAAAGACGTTAATGATCTAGAAATTGAAAATTTTTAAATTATTATTTATATATCTTGTTTATTTGTTTCCCTTAGAGAAATTTATAATACATCTTAAATATAAGCTTAGGAGAATTAAATTTATATTACAGAAAAAAAAATTGTACAGTGTTGCACCAAATCCTTCAATTTTCTTACGTGAATGCGTAGAGAAGTAATTTATTTTCTCCTAATCTAACTATATTTTTATTAGGATGAATGTCTTTCGATCTTTTAATTCCTAGATTTATACAGAGATTAGATGAAACAACTTACAAATAGTTGATTAAAAGTTACAAACCGTATTGAACGAACCGTATTGAAAGAACCGCGACTATAATGCTATTCAAGCGGATGCATCGCGACGTCAGCAACTCAGGTGACTCACCCCTTGAGGGAGAACAGGCGAGGAGATACCGAACGCGCGCGCGCGCACACCGAGGACGCTGCGCGTGCTGCATTGCGGCTAGCTCGCCCTCTCCTCTTCTCTGCCCGGCACACAACGGTGCAGAATTCGTTTTCCGCCACCCTCGAATACCATCCCCGCTTATCCTCCTCGCTTATTCCCCCTGTCTCGCGATCGCGGTACTGCACTGCAGCCAGGTACGCCCACCCCCCCCCCCTCGTCTCTGCGCTAGGGGGTGTCGATGGGGATGCACCGGAAGTAGAACGGATGAATCGACGACAGTCGGCGACTTGCGATCGTGTGGGATGCACGTGTGAAATCAATTCGTTGGAGAAGACGACGCAACGAGTGGGCGAGATGTAGTCGAATAGGAGTATATCGAGCCACGCGGGGCCGCCTATCATCCCCGATAGTATGCACCGGATAGCTCCACCGGGTGTGCCATGTCCCCCGTGACACACGATTTATCCTCTGATTCTATTATTTCCGGTTTATTCCCGATTTCTCTTTTTCTCGGCTTCATTAAGATCAAAAAGATGCGCAGCTGCTCGCCGCAGCTCTACTGTTGCAGTTTCGTTCCGTCATGCGCGAGAGAGCATCGGCGGGGATGCAAAACATTGGCGAACGATAAGCGCGTTCATCAATAGTGACGTTATTACAGTAACATCGCATTGCAACGGTCATCTTTTACGATTATATTGTCAACATCGTGAACATGCATCGTGTTTATCATCATCGTCATTGTTGTTTTTTCGCGTATGTACGTGTTGCACACGCATCCAATTACGTCAAAATGCGCATTCTTGTTTACTCTCGGTGACACCTCAACCAAGTTGTTTCGATCATCCCGGTTTCTCGAGAAAAGTAAGAATCCCAAAATATTGCAATTTTTTATTCCAGATAGATCTTGTGAGTTTAGTGCTAAGTTCAAAGTCCAATTTCAAAAGTGATTATCGCGTATTTTCTCTCACTACAATTCGATCTTTTTCAGTTTCTATAATATTAAAAAATATGATTGTCTCTGATTGTGACTGACTTTTATTATCATGTTAAACATTGGATGTGTTTAGGACAAATTTTTCGTTATACGTATTATGGAGTATTGTCGAGTAATCTTGAATTTCAATTAAAATTGAAAGTTAGTAATTTCAAAACTGTAATATAAATTTATTTCATTTGTCTATGTTATACGATTAAATAATTAATGATTCAAATACATACATTTGGTGTGGATTCTTTTAATTCATCAAGATATAGTTTTTGCTCGATATTACTAGAACTTTCGCTAAGATTAATTCAACGCAATTGTACAATTGATTAATGAAATAATCTTCACGTTGCAGAAAATGGTCGCGGAAAAGTACAGCAAGCTCGAACCCGAGCTGAAGGAGGAATTACGCACAATCGCCCAACAAATTGTGACACCCGGTAGAGGTATTCTTGCTGCTGACGAGTCAACTGCAACGATTGGCAAACGCCTTCAAGATATTAATGTTGAAAATACTGAAGAAAACCGTAGAGCTTACAGGCAATTACTTTTTACTACAGCAAAGGTACGCGTCTAATTAAAATGATGGAAAACTTAAGAAATAGGAATTAACTCGTCAATAAATGTGTTTAATTTGTATATTTAATTCTGAGAATGTATAAATGAAATATATAGTATTAATTTTATTAAAAATTTTATTAAAGCTCTATATTCTCGATGATTGTGTTTTCCAAAGATTTGTTAAGTACACAGTTTTGTTGAAATTGTGTTGCGATTAATAAAGACATTTAACGTTGATTTTCCTTAGGATGCCATCGGTCAACATATTTCCGGCGTGATCCTCTTTCACGAAACTCTTTATCAAAAGGCCGATGACGGTACACCATTCGTTGAGCTATTAAAGCAGCGCAACATCATCCCTGGAATCAAAGTTGACAAGGGCGTCGTTCCGCTTTTTGACACGGATAATGAATGCACGACTCAGGGTCTTGATGATCTCCAAGCGCGTTGTATCCAGTACAAAAAGGATGGCTGCCACTTTGCCAAGTGGCGATGCGTGTTAAAGATCACAAAGGATACGCCGAGCAAACTCGCCATCTTGGAGAATGCCAATGTGCTGGCCCGTTACGCTTCCATCTGTCAAAGCGCCAGAATTGTGCCGATTGTAGAGCCTGAGATTCTTCCCGACGGTGACCACGACCTCGCTCGTTGTCAACAGGTCACGGAAGAAGTTCTCGCAGCCGTTTACAAAGTAATTGAGAAAGAAGATGGCGAATCTTGCCTTATCCAAATTCGTTATTATAATTAACGTATAATGCGCAAATTAATTGATACGCATTTTATTCTCAGGCACTCTCAGATCATCACGTGTACCTCGAAGGAACGCTGCTCAAACCCAACATGGTAACACCGGGCCAGAGCTGCCCAACGAGAGCGACTCCCCAGGAAATAGCCGGCGCTACGGTAACAGCATTGTTACGTACCGTGCCACCAGCAGTACCCGGTATCACCTTCCTCAGCGGTGGCCAGTCCGAGGAGGAGGCATCGGTCAACTTAGATGCTATTAATAAATTTCCGGCAAAGAAGCCCTGGGCACTAACCTTCAGCTATGGACGCGCTCTTCAGGCATCTGTACTTCGTGCTTGGCAAGGCAAGGCCGATCAGGTCGCTGCCGGTCAAAACGAATTGCTTAAGAGAGCCAAAGTAAGTGATAATGTAACGAAATTAATAGATATTTAATTTATTTTTATTATATGTGTACTTGGAAACTTGGAATTTGCTGTGACTGCTAGTAGTAGTTAGTCTTAATTTCTTCATCTTTTATTTACTTTTGCATTTAGATATTAACTGTTAGCTGATTCTGTTTCTGATTTTTATTTTCCTAAGTGATTTTCTGTTCTAACATTTATATTCCGAATTACTTTTGCATTATTTGTCTTATTTCTTATACACTCGCAAACAATTTCTTTTAGAAAAGAAATATCTCGTATTTTCTATAGTTATAGTTGTCATTTAAGTCACTTGAAACACTCAAAGCTATGCGTCAATGCACACTTCTTTGCATGCCTACGTAATATGCGCTTGTTTAGGCAAATGCCGCAGCCTGCCAAGGCAAGTATGTCGCCGGCAGTATTTCTAGCAAAGCCGCTGACACCTCTCTGTACGTCAAATCTCACGCCTACTAAAAAATTTTCACATTTTTTGCGCAGTCCATTTCTCGTGGCAGTAAGTATATAATAATTTAACAAATGTCTATGTATGCGTGTTTTTCTCGTGGAACAATCCTTATCTTTAACCATTTGTCATAGTAAACAACTCTTGTCTTTTTATAGTAGAAATACATATACTGTAACAATCGATTTACGATATTACAAAATTCGTTAAATACTAATCTATAAAATGTTAATATCACTTTACGATGCAAGTAAATTAATCGTTATTTCGCAATTTTATTTCACAAGCTTTAAAGAAAATGCGTTTAATATTACTGATAAAAGTTTATCTTTTTATTTTTCACCAGGCTAACAGTGAGTCGGCACTTGGTAAATATGCAGGTGGTGTAGCCGGTGCTGCGGGAGATGCAGCGCTTTTTGTCGCCAATCACGCGTATTAGATTGACTCATAAGAATTCGATGTACCGTTATGAATATAAAATTGAACAGCCGTTGAAAACATTTCGCAGGATTATCGTCATCGTTCTTTCAAAAAGAAGTGGATCATTTTTTTTCATGGAAAAAAAGTGAATCCTTTAAGGATGATCGAGACGCACACAAAACTTCGAAGTTTCCGAGAACATCGATCGTTTTTATTATATTTTAATATAAATATTCTTAAGCAATCGTATCTTACAAATCAAATTGTATGATTTGAAGTTGAGTTTTAATCATTCTAATCTTTTCATCATTGTAAATTTATCAGTCAGATTCGATTTTAATTAATCTTACATTATATGATTCAAATCGATCATTCATAAATTGCATGTAAAATATGTCAATTGAAATTTTACTGGAAAAGTTGCTTATTTAACAGATAATTTGATGCGTAACTTTGTAATATATAAAATATCAAATTTAAAGTTTTTTTTTTTAATTTGATCTATTTTTGACTTTTTATTGATATTCTCGCCGCTGTTTCAATTCAATAACTAATTTAATGAGATTCAATTTTATTGGCATTAGATGAAACATCAAATGTAAGCAGATTATGATATTCAATATTATGATATTATTGACATCTATAATAATACTACAATAGACAAAACAATATATATATATATATATATATATATATATGTAAACACATCATACGATCAATGTGTTAGAATATTCTTCATGTATAAGATAAAAGTGCAAAAAAAAGCAAAATTATGCAAAATAAAACGAATACTAAATGTTGTTTGTTAGCGATTGAGTCGAATATTACGAAATCGTTATATTGTGTGTTATCTATACTTATAATAACACTATGTGTATCTCACATAAGTATCTAATATATAAAGAAGAATTACCTTGTATATCGATGTTATATCTAAATATTTTCGTTGTAATCTAGGTCACCAAATACAACTGTGGAGGACAAAAAAAGATTGTACATGATTTATTTTAGAATTTTCTTCTGAAATATTTAAATTAATTATATCTATATAAATATATAGGCAAAAGGATATAATCACACAATACATTAATAATCTTATTATCTATTACTATTTTATATATTTGTATAAAATTATATTTATTAAATAATATATAAATAATAATATAATATTCAGATAAACTAAATTATAATAATATAATCTGAACATTAAATTTTTACATAACATTTTTCAATATGTATTGAATATTTGATTAAATTTTTTTATTGATCGCAAAAAGCATATTTTATCGACAAAAAAAAACAAATATTAATCGGGCGATTATTAATATCTGAAGAATCGGATAAAGTATATTTTTCGATTCTCCAATCCTTGGATAGAATCCCTAGAAATAAGACTATGGGAGGAACTGTTTCTCCAACTCCATCTATATAAAATTACAGAGTTGAAGAGTTTGTAAGTTGGAGTAGGAAAGTTTCACAGCTGATATACAATCACAGTGGTCAGTGGTTAGATAGATTTCTCGTACCTAGTGTTGAACATGAGAAAAAAAAGTAATACATCAGTCACTAAAAAAAGGATAAAATTCTTTAATACTGTTATTAATTGTTTAATACTGTTATTTCACAAAAATTTTTCTAACGGAGATTCTTCTATCTAATTGTATATATACTATTCTCTACTAATTAAAGAATATCAACGAAAAATTAAAATTTGATGTTTCTTTATTAATTAATATTTTTAATAGATCTCAAAAATACAAAAATTATCTGATAAAAGCATACACACATTCAATATTTTCATGAATTTAAATATATAATTAGCGAAAACAAAAATTTGAAAATAGTTGAGTAGAAATAGATATAAATCTGCTGAATGTGCCCATTTTCATATGCTAATTTTAAAAATTACAAAAAATTGAAATACAATGGAGGAAGAGCCTGAAGTGATAGAACACTTTTTTGGCGTTTATTTGCTGTATTGTATGAATCCAAAATACAAAGGAAGAACTTATATAGGTTATACCGTAAATCCGAGACGCAGAATTAAGCAACATAATGCTGGTAAAAAGCATGGTGGAGCTTGGAAAACTAGTAAGAGAGGACCATGGTAATTAAAACTTTATTCTTTTTCATATACATACACGTACACGCATATAAATTATGTAAATAAATTGAAAAATGATTTACATGTATACACTCTTTAAATTCTACTAATTATCAAATAATTATAGGAACATGGTCTTGATTGTCTATGGATTCCCTAACAGCACTTCTGCACTTAGAGTATGTTTTGAGTTTGAATTTTTTATTTTGTTAAGAAAAATTGTGATTATACAAATTAATTTTAAAATTGATTTCATTGATTTAGTTCGAATGGGCTTGGCAACATCCACATGTAAGTAGACGATTGAAACACATTCCTAAGAAGAAATCATCGCAGAAGACGTTTGATTTCCATTTGACAATCTTGTCTGAGATGTTGAAGATTGGACCTTGGTATCGTCTACCTTTGACGATACGTTGGTTGGATCATAAATTCTTTGAGAATTATCACGAACGCATATCTCCACCGTTACATATGCCAATATGTTATGGCAAAGTCACTAATTGTAAAGTTAAGCACACACAAAAAATAAATGATGATATTCTATTACAAGAATCACATTTGTTAATAAAAGAATCATTGATGTTTTGTTCTCTATGTGGCTCGAGTGTAATGGAAAAAAATTCTGTCACCTGTGTAAAACCAAAATGCCTTTTGATTGCCCACTTAATTTGTTTAGCAAAAGAATTTTGTAAAGATGAAATGATTTTACCGATCGAGGGCACTTGCCCTTCATGCAGAACTATTGTTCTATGGGGAGATCTTATTAAAAAAAGAAATGGTTGTTATCAAGATTTTGAAGAAATTAACAGTAATTTTTCCAGTGATAAAGACGATATTTAAACATCGTGTACATATTTGTCTACATAATTATTTGTAAATAAATATAAATTTTTTATCTTGTAACTCAATTTGTATATTTGTATATCATAATATGTATATCATATATGTAACTGTATAAATGTATATAATGTATATATTACATTTTGTTTTGTAAAACATCTCTAATCCTTCCATATTTTAAACAATAGAATTAATAATATAATTCAATATACATGGCCAAATTTTCATTATGTTCTCCTTTCCTCCTTTTGCTATAAGAATAAAGAAAAATTTTTTTAGCAATGTTTATGTTGTTATACAGATATTGACATCATAATCAACGATCATACATGAACGGTACGTATACAATGAGATATTAATTCGAATGACATGTGACATGCGTTAACTGTTACACAGGTGCAAGAATGATTTCCATTCGGGTATTGGCTCACTGTGTAATTAGTACGCGCTGTGTCGAACCGTTAGTAGAACTCGTACGTGATCAAACAGTATCATTCACGTCAAAATATTCGAGGTCTGTGCGAAGAACGCACGTGTCAAAGAACATTTTCTTTTTTTTTCTCGGTCACTTTTTTTTCTTCGTCACATTTTCTTAACTAGCAATATTGTAGATTAATTTATTTTATTTTTGTATAGAATATCGGGATAGCTACAATACGAAACGAGAATACAATTAATAAATAGAAATTTTATTGTCATCAATTAATCTCGTAAAAAAATGTCATATAAATAATTTATATTTGTACGCCATCAATTATATATGTAGACAAGATGCTAAAACTATATACAACATAATATAAGTTAATTAATATTAAATTAGTATTAATTGACATTAAATTTACTTTTGATTTGCTAAAGAAACCAAATGATGAATTTTAATGAAAAAAACCAATATTGAATACATTTTATATCAAATCATTGACGTATATAAAATAGAATTATATATGTCAACTACTCGAGTTGAAATAACAGCAGATAAATATATATATATATTTCTTTTTTATGTCATAAAATAACGTTTTTTGTTTTTTAATATCTAAAGATTTATGAATAATATTATACTAAAGTTATTCCTTAACGTTAAAATAAATAAATAAATACATTTCAATTCTCTGTTATCAACGAACGTTACGCTTTCCGTCTCATTTATCGATATACAGAGTGAATGTTGTTCATAATTACGAGCTTTCACAGTAATTATAGAAGTTATCACTCCATTTAGTTTTGTTATACATTTGAGTAAATCATTTCGAAAGTATGGTCAACAAATCCAGTTTTACATTCTAATCCATTTCAACGAGAAGCGAAATGGATTAAAACAATATTACGATTTTATGAAAGTATCTGAGACTGGTTTTACAACACTTTTGAAAGATAAAACGATCAAATTTATTATTTATATAAAGACTTGAATCGTGATTAAGTAGATGCTAATTTTACTGGACCGGAACCATCGGAATTGATATTTACATTCACTTGATACAAGATAAATGAAAAGCAGAAACAAGCGATTTGCTAGTCATATCTTCATTCATGGTAAGCGGTACGCATCCATTAGCTTCACCGAAATTACGACGAATAACGGTACAGAAAACAGCTTAAAAAAAAAGTCTCTCGCACAAGATCGATGAATTCATGACTCGTAATCCGAAATCAAATGAGATTTTTTAATTCAAATTCTATCTAAATTTTCGAATATTCGACGTTATACATTATACATGAAATTTAAGATAACCTTTTTACCTACACAGTAAAGAAGAGTTTTCATTCTTTATCAAAGTTTATTATATTTGTGTTTTTAATTTAAGATAACAATGACCAGAATGGTTTTTCTTAACAGTTGCGTCAAAGAGTATATTCTCTAAATTTAGTTAGTTCATTCAAACACACAGTAAAAAAATATCATCGCTTCTCACAATTTCGATCGATTTTGTTGAAATAATTATTTAAAAGCATATATTTTGACATAATTTTTAAAATGCAATCGATGCCGTATAGCTATATGTCGAAGACGCACAATCAAGCTAGAAGAGATCTATTTCTAGAATATATCAGGTACGATCAAGTCATCATCGCCATATTCCTCATTGTATTCCTCGGCTCCGGGCGGCACGAAAATTCCACCAAGTACACCCGAGAGATTTTCACCCAACCCCATTGCCGAAGCTACCCCAAAGACCAATCTCATCATTAGCAGCCGCATAAAATTTACCACATTAGTCTCTTTGCTCTGCAGCGATAACTGCGTCGTTTTCTTCGATCTGCTATCTGCATATTGAATCTGCGAATTATGAAACAATTTTCAATGTTGGAATGTTGCCAAAAAGCAATCAAACAGCATAAGAAGAGGGAGAAAAAATTAAAGTAAGATAACCCGAATTTCATACTATTAAATCTATCTTATTTATGAGATATCAAGTGTAAACGTTGTATAGTATAATAATAATAATAATAATAATAATAATAATAACAGAGTAGTAATTTGAACATTTTGTTAGCTCGAAACGATATCCAGGGATGACACAACACATTCAAAGGCTAGTCGAATCTCCAAAAAGATCCAAAGAACAGAAAAAAAAGACTTGCGAAAATTGGTACTCACGCTGGTGCAGACGAGCAAAATTCCTAACAAAACTATTCGGACTCTCATACTGCGCTCCTTGGTACGCGCGATAATGACTTCCGGCGACGACGAGGGCCGGCCGGTTGTGCGCCAACTCGATGGCGGTCGGCGTTTATCAAGGAAAACGACGTCGCGATTTATTTGCGTACAAGCGAGGCATCCGCGCAACGAACGATCTGATGCGCCACGTTCGCCGAACAGAACTGAGGAAAATCGAACGAACGGCCAGTCTCCGTGAGAGTCGGCCTTTTTTCCACCACGACGCACGTCGTGTCTCGAGAAGAGAAGAGAAGAGAAGAGAAGAGAAGAGAAGAAAGAAGAAGCGTGGCATGGTCGAAACGCGATGACCCGCTCCCCCGAATGGCCAAGCGAAATCGACGCGTCGTCGATATACACACCGGCTACGAGATCGCAGAACCTAAGTTAGTCTACGATAACGGTACACGACGAAAAAAAGGCATTCAGGCCAGTCTTGGCTTCGCGCGTCGCGCGCCATAAGGTTGGACGCTAGTCATCGGACTCGTCACAGCTCGCTTCGCGGCGTACGACACGCGCGTTTATCGCTACATCATGCGTTTTCACGCTAGATCTGAGCAAATACTATTATCCAGCGCAATCATGGCGAAATTTTAACAGTTACGGTTGTTTATAATGTCGCTATTACCTCAAATATTATTACTGATAACTGGCAACTTTCTTCATCTTTTACGACATCTGAACATTGCTTTACAAGACGTTAACAAACATCGTATTACATTTAATAATATTTTGACAACAAAATTTAAATAATTTTGATTGCTCGGTCGCAGCGAGTGCTCGAAAAATTTTATCTAACGAAATCATAAAGCAATATCTGGATAACGCATTTTTTCCACCACAAAACTGGAAGATAAAATAAAATTTTGTACATGTTATTAGCAATTTATTAGGTTTGTAGATATTTTATTATTATATTTTGTATTAATTTGTTAAATAAGATATGAATTCCATGATAATCACGTGACAATTCACATGATACTTTCAATTTACTATCATCGTATCACTTTTTTACTACTTACTTTTTCTCGCGCGAGTAAAATCCTTTCTTCCGATTATTATCAACCCTGTACCGCTGGCCTGCTTAGTATCACACGGTTAAAAATGATGCGCGGCAAATCCCAAGGAGCTGCATGCTGCTAGAAAACGTAGGCTAGAAATTAGCCTGAATCGTAAGCGCCGATGAAATCTGGCACGGATCGTTAGCCGGCGCATCATCCATTTGTGCCGTATATTACGCGATGTGTTACGAAATTTTTTTACCCGTAATACCCATCGTAATAATCTTAGTCGTCATTCTCGCGACTATCTTAGCTATCTATACTCGAGAAAACCACTCGTGATTCGAGCTACTTGGGAAATATATATCTACTTTTAGTAATACTCTAATAATTTCAATCGTAACAAATTCATTTCATTTCAATTTGCTTCTCCTTCTTTTTCTCCTTCTTCATACATCATGGTGATCTATTCATCTATAGTGATTAGAGCAAAAAGATCTGCATTAAAGTGATTGGAACAAGTTGAAAAGAAGTTATGACTTTCTAGTTACCAAATTAATAATTATAACGGATAATAAAAATTTTTCATAATAATCCTTGTTGTTTATTTTTTATCAATATGACAAGTGGTTATGTTCACCATTCTTGTATTCATCAAAGTCGAATGAAAATAAAGAGTCTTCTCTCCATAAATAGTAGAATATATGATTCATGAATGTCGATGCCGGTCGTGACGTCCGATCAATACTTAAAATTAAAACAATGATGATAATGACGATGGCGAAGAAAGAGAGAAATAGAATTTCCTTCAGATTTGATCGCCGATCCGTCTCGACGATGAACCACCAATGAAAGACAGGATGCGACCGGGACCGGACGTAACAGACTCGGCATACGCAAACAGTTCCAGAAACGAAGGAAACACCTCGGATCGTCGTCGTCGTCGCAGCAATGACACTCTGTCACCAATCGAGATAATGCCACTAAATATGGCATGGCTTCAAATTCATGTGTTAAAATAATTATTATAATAGAGATTCATTAGACAAGAGATCTTTGTTCATGTTTTTTGCAACGTCGAGTTTTTATAATGTCGAGTGTAATGTTATATGTTATTTTTATACAGAACGTCTTATTTTAAGCAAAACTTTTGGTGTCAAAAAAAGATATATCGTATAAAAAAATTATTCTACATTCCAAAGAGACATATAGAAGAGAATAAGATCATTACGTGATCACATGAATCTTTTCGGAGCATTTAACATGCAATTATAGTGTAGCAGTTAAGATAAATTCAAAACAATGAAAGTCAATATCGACGTATCTGTTATTATGCGACAGGAACTACGTACATTACTATAAACAGTGGTAAAGCGCTTGCGGAGTTCATAGACCCAACTGGGACATTATCTGACTCGTTGCAACAGTTCAGAATACATACCTATATAGGTACCTATATGTGATACATCGCGGAATTAAGGCACATTTCTCACAAATATACCACGGGAATAATTATTATTTGGAAAAGTGGTTCGTGCTAAGAAAATTCATATTGTTAATCCGTGTTGTTAACACATGCGCGCGCGCGCCTACAATCATTTTTACGTCAACTCTTCAATTTCAATCGGCCGCGTAAATCGGCGAGTCGAGATTCACCACGTAATCATTCGCAATTATCGCGAACGCGTCATTAGATCCGATGTCTTGCATCTGGCTCAGCTCGGAAATTGAAAAATCGGTATTCCGTTATCGTCTCCCTTTCTCTCTTTCTCT